TTAATAAAATTAATTTTCATTTTTATTTTTTTAGCCCTAATCTTATATCAGCTAGGAGAGAAAAACATTAGAAATTGCTGCACTGCAGGAAATAAATTTGTACCGAGAAAAGTTATTACGTTTGGAATGAAATAAGGAAAAATCGCACGTGTATTTTTTCTTTCATTCCCCAGCCGCCACCATATGTGTGTGCGCAGAGTATAAAATATGTATTACCCACATTCCGTATTACGTTGGCTCGCCAAAGGCAGAAGCAATAATAACACAAAATCGGCAGTAGAGAGCAGCCGTTTCCTTGGTGCTCACTCAAAAGTCGCTCTTGTCGGCAGATTGATTCTCGAGATTCTCAACAAGCAATAATAGCAATCGAAATATTGATGTACAACTTCTTCTCCAAACAAACACTTCAATGGATGAAAATAACGAAGTATGGTTGAATAATAACGTAACGGATTTTGTTTATCAATTTTTTACTAATTTCCACTAAACTCGCCCTCCCGGTTTCCCCCCGAAACGCACGTGTGCGGTGAAATTTATACAAAGGCGTGGCCCTTCTTGTAAAGGGAAAGGGGGTGCTTCCTTCTTTTACTACGCAATTTCTCTTCTTTTTATCTCCCCCAAGGAGAATTTATAAAATAATAATAAAATAATCCCCATATTTCACAATTCTGGCCTGAGGGAAGGGTTGTTTTTTTCGTCTGTACCTGGGCTGACTGAGAGATAGGATAGGCAACCAGCTGCATCTCACGCGCAGCATCCAATTTTGCGGCGAGAGAGGTGTTTGTTATCAGCACGTATCATCTCCCCTGCTTATTTTTACCAATCCAATATCGGCTGGGCCGGTGCGCCGTTTCATTTATTATCACGTGCGCCCCGCCGTGAAAGCGAGAGTCTCTCTCTGGCTCGGACCAATTCCATCACATCCACTGATGGATTGATTTTCCCAGCGTTTGTGCCAGACAGAATTGAAAAAGCCTCATTTTGCAGCGTAATTGAACTCTCTGTGACGAAATTGAATTTTTAACTTCGTTTCTTTGCAAAAAATACACCATTTATAATTCTGCACCTCTACTTTTGAGTTTGGTTTGAATTTTAATTAGTCAAAAACATCACGGAGACAATTCTAAACACATAAGATGTACTGGAAAGGGTATTTATTTAAAATTGAGTCTGATTATTAATTATAACTATTGCGAAAAAAGAGTGGTTGCATTTTTTTTTTTTTTTTTTTTTTTTTTTTTTATTGAAAACACTATATAATGTAGGAGAAAAGCATTAGCATGTTTTACAGTTTTAAAAGTAAAAATGTGAAAATTAAAGCTGCCAAATTTAACATCTTTTGTGTCCTTCATCAAATAATTCCAAAGCTCTGTCACTTCGTAGAAACAATGTCCATGCATTACAACAATAAAACACGGTTTGATTGTTGTTTGAGCTCTCTGATTAGGTAGAAATATGATCCGAATTTACTCTAATTTTTTATGTAAGTAGACTTAATTAAGAAGTATTTCTCTTTAACTTTAAACCACTTAAAAGAGATATCTAATCAATTATTTATTTTGAATATAATTATTCAATATTATTTTAATATTCGACCTGTATTCCACATTATCTATAATTTCTACCCACTCATAAAGCATCTGGTTTGTATATGTAATTTGGACATAATTCTCCAAAACTTAGTGGAAACTCTGACCAAATTAGCATAATGCACCAACACTCGAGGCATCTCCACCAATTTTTTATGTTAAGCTTGTTGCTCTCGCTCGAAAAATCCAATCGGCCAAATGGAAAAAAGGAGAGTGCAGCGCAGCGTGCTTCGCGCGAAAATATAATTTCTGTGCGTGGATGCTGTTTTTATTTCCAACAGCAATTTGCCGTACGTCTTCTGCTTCTCCTCCTCCCAAAAAGCAATTTAGTTAATGTCCGCATCGGCCATTCAAAATTCACTCGGCGAATTATGATTATATAAAGCTGTGTCAATAAAATCGCGTAAAAAGTGGGCTCCGAACACAAACTGCACGCGGGCGTGCCGCTCTGTTGTTTATGACCATTTGTGGCACCACCTCGTTTTTTCAATATCGAAACAAAACAACAAAAAAGTGAAAAGCCGCAGCGTTATTTTTGTTAACACTAAAAATAAAAATGTATAACTCGTGCAGGATTTTTTACTCTCGTCGGCAGACTGGAATTAATTCGGGGCCCACTCGAGCGAGAGAGCAGACGAGCGAGAAACTCAAGGATCGGGTGCGATGAATATTTATTTTCACGGCTCATCAGTATTTAGATTGCAGCATCTTTCAGTACAAAGAGCAGCGAGGCACTCGATAATTGACATTTGCCATATGTGCACCCCGAATTATGCTCGAGTCGCAATTTGCGGCGGCGTCAGTGTTTTAATAGCACCCGTATCGACGTCAATGCGTAATTTGTTATGCAAATGGAACGGGAGCGTCTCGCTCGCATAGGTAATCCGAAGCAGCGAGGCGGCGATTTTTGACACCCCATTTGCGTTGATGTATGCAAAAGTTCATCAAGGTTCAAAGATGAATGCTGAAAACCAACTAAAATTAAAAATCAACTCTGATGAGTTGCATTAATTAATTAATTCTCTTATTACTAAACTATCATTTGGATGTTTTGAATATTTTTATGTTTTGGTCAAGTTTGCTCATTAAAACCAATATATGTGGCGACTTCCTGATGACAAGCTTACAATTAAATCTCTTCTTATCTTTAAAGTATTAACTAACCATTTCATGAATTATTAAAAAATTGAGATAGAATAGAATAATTGCATAATATCAAAAATGTAATAAGTAAAAATGATAACTGAAAATTTGCACAAATATTAAATAAAATTTTAAAAAAATGTAAAAATATTTTTAGTAGCAAAATGGTTAACTAATGTTAAATATATTTAATCGAAATTATATATTTTTAACTTATTGTAAAAAATATAAACTTTTGATTAAATTGTTAAAATTAATTTTGAAATAAATTTATCTCTGTGCTAAGCTCCAAGCCTCCAAAAGTGCAGCGAGCACTGACGGCGATGGCAGAGCCGACGAGATTTATTGGAAAAAGAGATCATCAGTCCTTTGTCGCAAATCCTTCTTTCTGCTCAATCGGTGAATGCGATTTTCCATCCCGTGCAGGAAACGCCTCTCCGCTTTTCGCTCAGCTCTGCCCTTATTAATTTCTGCAACGCTCAAGCACCTGAGGGCTTTTTTTCAATGAGCACTCCTCGCCTTTGTTGTTGCAAAAAAGTTGCTTCTATCCCCAGAGACTGAATAGTGAATACTGTGAAAAGCAGTATAAACTTTTGTGTAAAAAAACCATTCCGTCATCAGTGCACAATATAAAATAAAGATCTGCACTTTTAACTTGAGAGAGAAAATTTATATAATTTTTAGGATAAAAATTAAAAATTGAAGTTTTGTTATTTCAAACAATGCATTTTGATCCGACTTTTAAATTATTTAATTATTACCAAACTGGTATTCTCTTATGATGAAACAATTTTTCGCTTCGTCCTTTTTTTTGGTGAAAAATAATTTACGTTGTCACAACAAATTTTTATCGCGGCCCAGCATCTCTGTCACACAACTCATATAAGATGAAAAACGCCGGTGAGCGAGAAGCCTAAACGCGTTTATATATTTATTTTTTTATTTTAATGAAAAATCTCCAAAAGCCGGGGAGCGCGGGTCGAGGACCATTTTTCTGCACGCCTCGGCGCATATTTCTGTGTAAAGTCGAAGGCGGATTTCGCTCGCTCTCGTCCTGTAAAATGCCCCTTTGATGGGACACATCACGCTAGACTTAGCAGCGTTCTCGGCGCAAACACGGCTCGGATCTCAAGTGGTAGGCAGCGCGCCGACTTTAATTAAAAAGCCGACTCGTACCGACCTATTCACTTTTCCACCGTAATTAACTAATCTGCAGAAGGAACGTGAATTAGGGCAAACCGCGACGGAAATTCACTCGACTGCGAAGGCAGCGACACTTATTCAAGCGACCTACTCCCTTAGAGGTATGCAACCTGCTTAACCAGTCCATAACTTGCGGCAAGAAAAGTGGTTAAGGGTAGAATATATTACTCTTGGTTTTTCCGTCGTGATTTCATATTTTTGTTAAGATAAAAAAAATGGTTTAAAGATAAAAAAAGAACAGTCATTTTTTGGATATAAACTTTTACAAATTAATTTAAATAAAATAACTATTCCTCTCTAAGAACTTTTGGGAATAAGTCTTAACTATAATTTTGAAAGAAATATGTAATGTTAAAGGTGAACAAAGTAAAAATTATTTTAATAATTTACAACAATTTACACAAGTTTAGGGACATTTTTAAATTAAAGTTCAAAATTTAAATTCAGCCTAATTTATAGAACTCCTCACCTTATTTTATCAATTTTTTAGATAAAATATTCCTAGATTCCACGTTTAAGTTTGAATATCTCAAAATCGGAGCATTTATTATTAAATAAAATGTTGCTTAATTTCATAAATTTCATTTGTTTTTCAATTCTCTGAACCAGGTTCTTTAGGCAACACGTCTGAGATTTTAGGTAATTTTCCTTTTTTGCTCTCGTCGATCGTCCCACACGCAGAGCCACATAAAAAACGCACGTGGCCCTCGTTTGGTGTGTAATAGATTAAAATAGAGAATGTTTTCTGGAGTTGTATAGCAACACGGCATTTTCTCAGCTGCTTTCTGGACGCGACGCGCCGCTTGTTTTGGTTATTAATGGCGCGTTTTTATGTCCGCCGCGTGTTTTATAACTTGTCAACATGCACCTTCCTGACAAACAGAATAAATCCTTCTCGCACACCAAAAATATATTATGCGTGCGTGCCGCTTTGAATAATTAAAATCCGTGAGTGTCGCCAGCGGGTGTTAAACCCACAATTTATGTGCGATATTCTTCAAATTTATCGCGAATCTCGCAATGCTTTCACGTACTAACGAAGACGCATTAATTTTTTGTTCTCAGGAGACAACAAGCAGAGGCGAATCAGATTTACTCGACGACCAATCCACACACGAAAAGTAGCCCAAGTAGTCCTGCTGACGACAAGTTGAAGGTAAGCGACATCATCAAATTAAAAGATTAAAGTTTTTATTTTAATAAAACCAGAATAGAACGTGAATTCAGCCAGTGTTAAATCTAAAGTAGAAAGGATTTTAAAAATAAAAACTAAGAAAAGTTACCAAAAAAATTGCATAAACTAGCCATTTTAAATAAGTTTTTAGCAGTAGCTATAGTTTTGCCTAATAAGTTTAAGCCTAGTTTTAAATTTGATACTTGTCACAAATGTTTTTAATGTTGCTTAAATTATCGCAATTTTTTCCCTACGTACACCCTAAAAAATTAAAAATATAGGAAGCGGTAATAGTTTTAAAAGTTATTTTTCAGGTTAAATTATTTAAGTAAATTTACAGTAAAGTGGTTTGCTTAATTTTGACACAACTGTAAAAAACTCGTAGAGTGCTATTAGCAAATAATTGAACTGGAATTATTTCTTTTTCTTCCATTATTTCTTAATTTTTCTACTAAAAATATATAAATTTAATTTTTTTTTAAATGAAGCCAATTCTTAAACACAAAAAGTTGTTTTCACAATTCACAGTGAAGTGAAAAAACTAAATTTTTCACTTTTAATTCACAATATCAGCTCGTAAGAGAATGTGGCCCATTTCAAAAGTTTCTATCCTTTTAAAAAGCTCAGAACAAACCCACAAATGTACAAATAATGTAGTAACAAAATGGTCAAAGGAATTAAAAGACACACACATGTATAGATCCCCATTAAGAGGCCAAATAGATTTCGACACGCCCGCTTTCAGCCAGTCTTTACATCTGTCACGTCTTTTGTTTCGACCTCCAGGAAAACGGCCCGAAATCGAAAGTCATGCCCAAATCCATAAAACGGAATCACCGACCGCGACATCTAAACAAACCGCCTTCTAGAAATCGGACTAATTAAGCCATCAAAACAAATAGTCGAAATTCACCGGGAAAGCGGCGTCTCGTAAATAATCGGAGCAAAAACTGAACGTGCACCGCCCGTTTTATAATTAATTGCATGAAAACAAAGTTCAGTGCCTCCGCACGTGAAAAACGTTTGTGCCTGCTCATTTGTATCTTTTCGCTCTCGGCTCTCCTAATATGAAAAATGGTCTCGAAAACAACAGAAAAAAACCTTGTATAATTTTATTCAGCGAGTGGGCCGCGCTTCTTGAGAATGAAATGTGCTTCTGCTGACCACGATGATGATATTATGATGGGAGGTTCTTTCAAACCTGCAGCCGCTTATAAATCATCTCTCTCGCGGTCTGGCTCCCAGGTCAGTGGATTTTAGCCCCGTCCATTAAACTTGATTAGTTTTTAAAGCTGTTTTAATTTAAGTAGTAAAATCCTGGATGAAAAATTTATTTCCAATAAATCAGTTCATTAACTTTTATGTGACACACCTTGGGATTTAAAAAAAATGCTACTAAATTTTATATGACATTTAAAAAAAAATACAATTAAGCAATAAAAATTAAATAATCCTTAATTAATTAATGTCAAGCTGCAATTAGTGATAATTTTTTTTAAATAAAAATTTTAATTTTGATCATTATTAATGGTAAAATGTCCTTTTTTAATTAAGTTTTACATATTATTTTGTTATTAGAATATTTTTTTTTTATTATTATTTATTTAAAAAAAAATTGCTCATTCTGCAATAATCTGATCACTGCTCTGTCGTGCAAAATCCTCAATTTGTTAACCCTTTGTAGATTGTAATTATCATATCATATGTAAAGGCACATTTTTCACACACAAAGAAAAAAGGAAAATGTCACATTTTCAGGTTATTTATTATTATCATTTGTGAAATCCAACCTATTGCACCCATCAAAGGATAGACGTGTTAAATTTCTACCTTTGAAAGGAGATTAGATTCCACTGACCCTGAAAATTGCTCGCGGAGGAACGAGAGCGAAAGAGGAGAACCGCACGCAATTTGCGCACAGGAGCGCACAGAAACACGTCGATTTCCTTTCCAGAGGCCTCATCTTCCGAGAACGTGTGGGAGCTGAAATCGTTTTCTAGCCGCGGATAAATAAAATTTCAGCCTTTTGATCCTGTGCTCGTGGCAAAAGCGGATTAATTACCGCCTAATCGGGTCTCTCTGTCTCGCGCGCGCGTGGAATTATATTCGGCCTCTCTTTGATTGCACGTTTGTCCGCGTCGAGTTCTCTTGCTCGCCCACGTGCCGACAAATAATAATTTAATGCCGCTTCAATATGACGTCCCGACAACACTTCATCCGCTTTGATTTCACTCGCAAGTGATGCAAACAGCAAGGCTTACCCATTTTTTTGTCTAACTTTTATCCCAAACTTGAAATCGGCAAATCTCAAGTTGTTTACAATTATTTGCTGTTCGTGCCTTTTTTTATTTTTATTCTTTCATATCAATTTGATATTGAATGCTGCTGGCAGTATAATCTTAAGTCTCATACAACTAATTTAGTTTTATCATAAAATTTGCAAACTATTTTCATTATTTGCTAATTTGAATCGTTTTCTCTAGTAAAATAAGCACAAGTTTTTAATTGTTTAAAAAATATAATATGTACAAAATTGGAATAAAATCGTATTTTTTTGTAGCATACAATTATTTTATTAAAATTAGTATATTTTACGACACAACCGTTATTAAGGGGTAAATGTTATTTCTTGTGGCTTCAGATTTCTTTAGGTGGTTTTCCGCGGTTTTCTTAATTTAAAATCTGTCGCAATATTTTTTTGCTATTCAGCTGAAAAAATTTTTCTAGATTTTGCGTGGAATTCTTCCAAAATAAAAATTAATGGACATTCAATTTTGAATGATGTTTACTCCAAATTGCACACAACTTGTCTGTTTTTCGGCGGTTTATCACAAGGAGAACATTGATTTGTATTAATATGGTCTTGTTTAATGCTAGTTAATTCTAACATTAGCTTCATTTAGTTCAAATCGCATGATTCGTGTTCAAATGATGAATGTGAATGAATTTGAACTTGTCGCTTTATGTTTAAATACTTTAAATAATAATCAAAGTAGAATGAAGATTCACATGAATAGCGGAGAATAAATTATTAGAAATCATGACAATTGAATTAAACAGTATCAATTATATTTTTATCTAGAAAAATTCGTATTAAGTAATTTTTAAATCAATGAGGAAGAAAAGAAACTTATGAATGTTTAAAATTAAATAAATTTATGTAATTAATGCAAAATATTATAAAATATTAAAAAAAAATAAGTGTATAATATTGACACATTATAATGTAAATTTTAATTGATAAATATTAAAATATAAACTATTTTGCAACACAAAAGTTATAATAAAATCAAGCCCATAAAATAAATTTGAGATTATTCTTTCTCAATTTTTAAATCCCTCCGGTTGATTTGTTGATTGCATTGCCACGCTATATTGCGTTGGAGAAAAGCGGCCGCCGCAATCGGTGCGATTGTGTCAATCAGCCGCGTCGGCCAAGATCGATTTTTAATTCATCAGCGCACGGATGCTGCGGTTCGTATATACTCTTCTAGGTGTGTGTACACAAGAGGATGAAGAGGAGACACACGCGCTCGCATATAAAGGCGAAAGAGGCGCCTACACTGACGGATTAACATGTCTTGTCTCGAAGAGATATTGCTTTTGCCTCCGAGGCCCTCCTGCGCGTCTCCGCGATATTGGGCGCCCAGTTTAATAACCCACCTTCGCGTTCACAATTTTTATATTTAATCCAAAAGACACCGAATGAAAAATGATGACGCAAGTGCCAGAATTTCATATTAATTTCTCGCTCGTCGGTTGACGTCACCCTTCTTTCTAATTGCTTGTTGTGTAGTTGCATTAGGGGTGGCTACTATAAATGCGTTGGCGTTGCGTCATGATTGATTAAGGGTTGCGGAGGATTTCAAAGTCTGTCAATCCAAGTTAAAAAATGAATATGAGACCGAAAATTTAATACTGAAATTTGTAAGAATTTCCCAACTTCATTGATTTACTATAAAAAAAAACTATTTTCACTTACAAAAGAAATAAATGCAAGGAATAAGTCCAGTTTTTTTTAAATTTCCTTCCCAGATATTTAATAAAAGATTAATTTTTTGAAAATATTAATTTGTTCAGCTCATACAAGACTGCTAAAAAATGTTTTACTAACATTTCCGTAGCTTTCTATACTTTCTTTCTGCTTTCTTTGAATATTTTTTATTGTTTCCTAACATATAATTTTAATTTTTTTTTAAATTAATTGAGTTTTGCAACCTACAATTAAATATTTTATTAATAATTATTAATAATAATTAACTGGAAATATGCAACTTATTGCCATATTTTGTTCACTTAAATTGGAAAATACTTGAAGAGATGCACTAAAAAAATGAATAATTCAGAAGCAGACTTTAAATTAAATAGCCTAAGAACTAATATCCTTGTAATTTATAAATCCTTCAAACTTATGAATTACTTCTACAATTTAAAAACGATCAAATAGAAAACCCCCTTTTTTTGCAAAATTACTAGCATCTGCCATCGCTCACGGGTGAATAGCCTTCTCTCTTTCCTTTTGTTTATCCGCACTTTGAAACCAAAAAGCACACCGTTCCGCATAAACTAACAAACTGACTTGCTCTCTCCCGCACGTGAACTCCCAGCAGCTCAAATATTTAGACCACGAGCCCATCGCAGGCGCCGGCGAACACGCTGGTTTTTCAGCAAAACGTGGCCGGCAGCCAAACAGCAGCAGCACTCGCGAAATTTACATGGGCAGTGTTCGAAGGCCTTGGTACTCAAACACAAGCCGCTTGTTTATCAAATAAATTAATTCATCCACCCATGCGAGCAGATTTTTATCTCTTGAACCTTATGCATGCGAAATGAAATTAAACTCCAAGGTTTCTTCCTTCTTCACTCTCTCTGGCGGACAAAGAAAGGAAAATCGGTGCATGGGTGTACATATGTAATTTTATATTGCCTCCCACAATCCATCACACCTCTCGGCACAAACTCTATAATTATTTTATAATATCGAGCACTCTCTTGTGTGAAACCACTTCTTCTTTTGAATGAAAAAGAAGTCGTCCTGGGGAATATGGTAATTAGCGATAAGAAAAGTGAACTCGCCGCTTTTCTTGTCATTTATTCAATCCCAGGCGTCACTCTTGAAATTCAGGTCAATGGGAAAAATGCTGAGTTCACGTTTTTTTTTCACATTTAATCTCGGTTTCAATCGTCGTGTTTCGCAAACTTAATTGCTGCTTTTCGTCACAAGACATTTTATAATCGATGACAAATCTTTCGTTTAAAGTTATCGAAGTAATCGGACTAAATGGACCGTGAAATAATTTCTTTCTGCTTTCAGGGCACCACACACGATCTTTTCGAGTTGCTCGAGAGGGTTCAAAGCAGCCGGTTAGACGACCAGCGATGCGTCCTTCCACCCTATGTCAAACAGGTAGGAATTATTTACTGCTTTAGAAAGTTAATTCAACTAATTAATTATTTAGCTTCATGAAAAACCAATCTTTAATTTTTTTCATCCTAATTTTGACGCATTTAATTCAGTATAATTTCTGGTAAAACTGAATTTTTATTTGATTGTGAAAATTCCATACCAGCGGCGTGCCAAATCCACAAATTGGATTATCACTTTCCAACTCACTGTTTGTTAAGATGCTTATCGCGGGCAGATGGATGTTTGACAATTGCGTGAAATATCGAGCTGAACGAATTTTTCAGCCTCTTTTTTTGGAATCGAATATTAAACAAACTGCGCGTAGCACGCGAACCGGCGATAAAGTTTCTCTCAATTAGTCGTCGTGCAGCTGAGCCTCGTCGCGCCGTTCTATCATTAATAGCCGTCGAATTAAAAAGTAGGCACGTCCAAATGCGTTTATTTTTTTTTTAACCACACGCTGAATCCACTTTTCACGGTCTAATAGACGCGAGCCGGCAGCAGATTTTCGAGGCTGCCTCCCTTTCATTATCGCGAGAGAGATGGAAAGTGACGAATGGGATTTATTGAAAGCGCGAGGAATCTGCTCTTTTCAATATCTATTTTTAGAATGTACGGCAGATGGCCGAGCTACAATCGATTTAATATTAAACTTATTTTAAAGGGAAAAAATTAGTCCATATTTTTTTGGCAGTTCAATGAAAATTTATTGTCAAAATTCCAAATATAATTGAAGATTTTACTACCAATCGCCAGTGTAGCAGGCCGTATTGTTCCCCAATTCAGCCAGAGGGATGATTCCCTCAAAAGGAGTTATTCCTTCGGCGGCCATTTCATCTCGAACCTTAGTTTTAATCAATTAGAAACTGATTTGGTAAAATATTAAAAAGTATTAATTACTCTTTCCACGTCACGGAAAACCCTAATGAAATTATCGCTAGCCAATTTGCGCAAGTTCTCTTCAGTCCAAGCTGGGTCTTCGGCTAACTTTGCAAAAAGATTGGGAAACCCAGAAACGTCCTCCAACCCTTCAGGCTCACTTTAAATGAATTATGCACATTTAATCACGCCTGAATTAAAAAGTATCATGGTTTCCTCACCTATTGATGCCATCAAAATCACTGCCAATGCCAACATTGTCATATCCAGTCAAGCTAACAATGTAATTAATTTGATCTGTGCAATTAAAAAAGAAATTATTAATTTAACGTGAAAATGCTTCAAAATTTTACTGATAACGTCCTGAAGCGTTGCTGAAGTTATGTTACAATTGACATAGCCTGTGTAGAAATTGACCATCACAATAGAATTTGTATTTTTCTAAGCAAAAAAAAATTAATACTATTCAAACATTCAATTAAAAACTCAAAATCTCACCACTAGTTGCAAAACGTTGTCATGCACATTTCTGTCGTGGTTGCATAGTGCGTAGGCGTTTGAATGCGAGTAGATAATTGGTGCTCTTGAAACGGCCAGCACGTCCTCTTGAGCCGCTTTGGACACGTGTGCCAGGTCCACCATAATTCCCAGTCTGTTCATCTCACGAACGACCAGCTGAGATTATAAATTTATTTCTAGGGCCACGATTGAGAAATCTTTATTCAAACCCGTCCGAAATCGCTGAGGCCGTTTAAGTTCGGGCTAAGGCCCGACTCTGGATTGTCGCTGAACGAAGTGTCTGACCAGGGCGTGTGGCACATGTGGTTTAAAGACATGTAGCGCACCCCTAATTTGTAAAATTGGCGCAGAATGGACAGGCGGTTGTCAATACTTTGGCCACCTTCTATTCCAACCAGACTTGCAATTTTTCCCTCGGCAAAAGCATCCAGAATTCCTGAAATTAAAAAAAAAAATATTTTGTCGGTTAAGAATCTAAGTATTTTAATTATACCTTGTGGTGTGGTAACAAATTTGAACGTATCACTGTACTGTTCCGAGAATCTTATAATAAGATCAAGCGTGTCTAGGGTTTTTTGAGTGGCATCGCGATACTGGGCCGAGCAATCGCCAAAGGCGACAAAGAACTGGAAACGTCATGAAATAATTGCGTGCAGCAAGACTCGGTTAATTAATACTGACCTGGGCTCCAACCTTTCCAGCTCTGAGTCTAGGAATGTCCGTGTGGCAAAACTCGCATCCCACCCACAACGGGTGATTAGTCAAATTTTGGTTCAAATCAATATTTGCCAAAACACCACCAGCTCGTTCTTTGATGTTCATCACAAGATCATTGTGACTTGATAGATATTGTGATAATACAGAATTTTTATATAAAGTCAAAATTTTTACCCGTCGACCAAAGGTACCGTGTCCAACACTTTGTTTGCTATACGCCGCGCCTCTTCAGGGGTCCTCCGAACAGTGGCACCAGAAAGTGCCACCAGTGCCAAAACCAGCAAAACCTTTGGCAGAGACATATTTAAATATGACGATTATATAAAACTCACTGCCTTCTTTTATAGTAAGACTGAGGGAAACCCAATGATATCTTTAACTTGGTGATATGAGAAAATTATTTAAGTAAAATCAGCTATATTGTTCTTGTCTTTTATTTTTTATTGTATTATAAGGCAATCTGACATTATCTCATCCATTGTGACACACATTAGTGATTGAATTGTCTAACAAAAGAATTTTATCAGTTGTGAATTACAACACACTTAATTATTTCACTGCATCTTTGAGTTAAGTACTATTGGGTTCTCAATGATATTATTTTAAGCATTCTTTCTGTGAAATTAACAAAGATCTTCATCGTCTGATAAAAAATGATTTTACCTTGCGAAGGAAGGAGAAAAGCTTAACACACTTTTCTGTACTTATTTCTAATTTTCAAACGCTTGCATTTTTTACTGTTTCCATTATTTTAATTTTCAATTTCCCCCAAGTGATAATTTTTTTTAATTTTGTTTTTAATTCCTACAAATAAAACTAGGTCAATATTGTGGGCATTTGTCGCTGATAAATCCGCCAGGGAGAGTTGTAGCACTGGAAAAAGACACAAGCAGCATAATAATCTAAATAATTATCACAATGATCAAAGCGCAATCTCGTCACTCACAATTATTAGGAAATCCCTGACTTAAGCAGTAAAATTTGATCTTGTTTTTTTAAGTCTACATATTATTGACAACGATGACACAAGTCGTCTTTTCACTCCAGACACTACAGTGAGATAATTTAAATAATTATTGCCCATCTGAATCACGTGATTAAAAAAAATAGATTGTGTCCTGTCTCATGCTGATTTTGCAATACAAAATTGAAAGTGTATGTTATCATTTCCAATTGATAATTTCAAATTTTGTATGTATGCAACGCATAGTTAAATACCGATTAATTAAAATTAAAATGGGAAAATACACATCATGTATTTCAAAATTGCAATCATTTTTATCTTTGCTTCAAAGTTTTCCATTTATTGATTTGTGTGCTTTAGCGTTACAAAATCATTATGTAATAATGATAAAGACTGAATTGTATTACACAAATTAGTAACCACCGTAACAAGCTGTGTTATTTCCCAAATCTCCGACTGGAATATTCTCCTCAAAGGGCGTGATGCCTTCAGCAGCCATCTCATCGCGCACCTTTGAAATAAATTTTAAATGACACAAAATTATTCAAAACTTTTAACTTATACCCTTTCAACATCAGTAAAAACGCGAATCAAATTCTCCCCAGCCAACTTGCGCAAGTTCGCTTCCGTCCAAGCTGGATCCAAAGCCAGAAGGGTAAAGAGATCAGGGTAGAAAGAAACGTCATTCAATCCCTCAGGCACCCTAATCAATCACTTAATTTCCATAGACTGAAATTATCAAAATTTACGCAAACCTTTCAATGCCGTCAAAGTCGCTTCCAATACCAACGTGATCGAATCCAGCAACGTTGGCGATGTGGTTCACATGATCTGGTAGTATAATATAAAAAAATTAAATCAAATACATTTTCAATGATTAAATAAATCTTACCTGCAACATCTTGAATTGTGGCTGTGCTACTGCAAGTCACATACCAAGTGTAAAAATTCACCATAACGATTGAATTGGAGGATTTCTGGGAGAAATATATTTTAATTGGAAAGCCACACATAAAAAAAAACTAATTTACCACTAGTTGCAAAACGTCATCATGCACGTTTCTATGGTGGTCGCATAACGCGTAGGCGCTCGAGTGCGAGTAAATGACCGGTGCTCGCGACACTTGGAAAGTTTGGATTTGCGCCGCTTTGGAAACGTGCGCCAAATCTATCAACATTCCCAATCTGTTCATCTCTTGAAGAACAATCTGAGAGGAAAAATTTGTAAAAATTTTGAACAGATTGGATTTTATTTTAACCCACCCTTCCAAAGTCGCTGAGGCCATTGTTGTTGGGAAGGACGCCGGATGCGGGGTCGTCGACGTTGGAGGTGTCGCACCACGGCGTATTGCAGACGTGGTTCAGAGTCATGTAACGAGCTCCCACATCATAAAACTGGCGCAGGATGGCCAATCGGTTGTCCATGCTGTGGCCACCCTCAACGCCAATCAAACTGGCGATTTTTCCCTCGTTAAACGCATCCCAAATTCCTTTAATTTTCATTATTATTTTTAATTTACTTTTTTTTACATTTTACCTTGTGCAGTTGTTACAAATTTGAAATCATTATTGTGTTTTTGGGAAAATCTTTTGATAATGTCGATGGCGTCCAGTGTCTTTTGAGCCGCATCTCGATACTGAGTGGTGCAGCCAGTAAAAGCGGACCAGAACTGTGATATTTTTTTTAATTAAATTATATTATTTGTAAAATTAAATTTTTAACCTGTGCGCCGACCATTCCAGCTCTGAGTCTGGGTATATCCGTGTGGCAGTTACCACAGCCAACCCAAAGAGGGTGGTTCGTCAGGTTTTGGCTCAAATCTACATTTGCTAATTGGCCAGCGGCCTTATTCCTTATATTCATCGCCAGGTCATTGTGCCTAATGTGAAAAATAGACAAGTAAAATTTAAACAATTTTACTAATATTTTCTTTTTTAATTTCATAAAAAGCTGAAATTTTTAATTTTTACCCATCAACCAGTGGCACACTTTCCAAAACGCGTTCTGCAATAAGCCGTGCCTCCTCAGGGCTTCTCCTCGTGGCACTCGAAAGAGCCACAAGCACTAAAAGCTGGATAATTCTCGGGAGCAGAGACATATTGGAAATGACAGAGGCACGCACAAGGGACTGCTGCCCACTGCTGCTTTGCAGGTATTGCGAGAAATCTCCCACATTTAATCAATGGGCCTTGGTTTTGTTTTGCTCAAAGGAGATTGGCAGGTGACAACTTGATTCTCACTGAACATTGTGAGTGATAATGGGATTATAATTGTACCCAGTGCAACATAAAGACTTAAAAAAATTAGAAATTAAACACGTTCAAAGCATTCAGGTTATCTTGCATTTGTTCTAATCTCGCAGCTTTGCACCTTGAGTTTTTCAAAAGACAATTTTCAAACGTTTTCCTCAATACAAATTAAACTGATAAGGATAATCAAATTAAATAGAGAGCAAAGACAGCGCGCAATAGCTTCACAAAAAATGGTTAAGCAAAATCTGTTTTTTTTCTAAAATTATCTTACAAAATATAAATATTTTAAATCGGATTTTTTTCTCTCAAATATAATATTCTAAATCGCATGCTTTATTACTTCCAAGAATGGCAAAGGAATTTTTGATCTGTTAGAATTGAATCTCATCTGGAACTTTCGAACACAAAAAAATTATAGGCGGCTCCAAATATTATTAGCCTTTCATCATCCCTTTTTAATCAAATTCTCTCCCACCAACGCGAAAATTTTCTTCGCTCCAGGCTGGGTCTCCGGCCAGCAGAAGGAAAAGATTTCAGATAGAAAGAACCGTCATTCATACCCTCTGAAATCTACTAAAAGTTCCACAAAGTTCTTCCCGTCTCAACGTATAGACGCGTATAGACCTTATTGCAACTTTGTTCCGATAAAGTTACTCCGAATAATCACTGTTAATAAAAACTATTAATGGTACCGATGAAAATATAATTTTGTCTCATTCTCTTTAAAAATAATAAAAAGAAATGTTCAAGAGTGTAGAGAATTTAAGGTTCAAAATTATTTTGCTCCTATAACATTGTCTAAATAAAAACTTTAAAAAAAAAATTCTCTACCAGAACTTGCAAAAATGCCATGTACGTTCCTCGTGCATTGGTTGCAAATGGTGAAAACGTGCAAGAAAAAACCGGCGCCCTGGACGTTTTCATCGTCTAGCTGGATTCGGGTCGCTTTTGACACATGAGCCGAATCGACCAACATTCGAAGCTGATTCATTTCTCTGATAACAGTGTGGAAGTGTCGATTGCGAGGGTGGTGCCTGATTCTTTCGTTTATTATACAACGTGCCCTGCCAGAGTCGTTGATCCCGTTGAGATTGGGGCCGCCAATTCTGGATTGTCGACGTCCGAATTGTCACTCCACGACATGTGCAGCCGTGATTGAGGCTCATGTATCGCACACACATGTCGTAAAACTGGCGCAGAATTGCCAATCGGTTACCAATGCTGTGGCCGCCCACCGAACCAATCAAACTTCCAAATGTCTCGTCACTTAAACGACACAAATCAAAATGCTCATAAAAAAATTTGATATCCAATATTGATTGGAAAAATTTTAAAACAATATTAATGCCTTTCGTATTTTTTTTTCTAGACAAAGATAAAAATCATGTTTTGTAGCCAAAACATGTTACTCTCTCACATATTCCCACAGGTTGCATGTAAAATCAAAGGATGTTTTTCTTCCTCCCGCCGAGCCGAGATAACAAAAAGAAATCCAGACGAGAGCGGAAATAAAAATTTTACGCTCGCAATAAAAGAAACGATTCTATTTTTATATTCACGGACTGCGCTCTATATTTAGTACATGGGCGTCCGTGCTGGATATAAAATCATCCCTTTTTTATCAACGGTGAGCTATATGCGGCTTTCTCATACCTGACTGAACCGCAGAGGAAAACCATTACAAAAAACGACAGGAAGGGCGGCACGTATATTAAATCGCTTCTATAATAGGCCACGCAAAACAATCGACCAATTACCCTAATAACCACAAAATCGGTAATTGCAACCCCTAGACTGTAGACGAAAAAGTAATTTTGGGGTTGAACAATGTGAATTTGAATGCAGCTGCCCGGTGGTTTATGAGTCAGTTGATTTTCCTTTCCTTTTGTTTTTATTTTTACACAAATTACAAAGGGAAGCTCATTAGCTGTATGGAGAAGATAATTGATAATAACTCACGTTGCTGCATATTTATGGCGTGTTGGAATATAAACGAGTTTAATTTTTCACTTAAATATGGAGCAGCTGCCACGGATCGTTGCTTGAATTTCCCGATATTCCACTGAATACGCCAATTACAATAAATAATAAGAAGGAAGGCAACTGCTTTGCGGCGTGCAAATTTAATTTATCGCTCTTGAGCCGCCTCACGTATTATTTTCCTTCGCAGGGCCGTGAGCAAATAAATAAATAACGCCGGCGCGCAACTCTTTTTTTCTATACGCCCTATTAATGATCCTCAGCTGCCACGCTAATTTGTATTCCTGTTGGATACAAATACATATAATATTCCACCAGAAGAAAATACATAAAAAAGTGTCCGTGATAAATTTGGCACTGCTTGAAGCTTTTATTGCGTTTAGGAAATGTTACACGCGCAGACGAGAGATCCCGCCGCGTTATTTATAATATGGAAATGGACCGAATTATGGCCGCAATCATGTCAGGTAATTTCATAATGGGCACATATAATTTGCAAAAATTACAATCATCTTGTGAGGCACAAAAGAAGTAAAAGTTTTATTTTTTCCAGCCCGACACAACAATAATCGTATAAATTCACAACCACAAGATTGGATAGGGGAAAAGGGTAATTTTTTTTCTTTTATTGGCGCTTATTTGAATGGTAAATTAAGTTTTTTTATGGTTGTAATTTTAAAATAATATTAAAATTGAGAAAAAATTTGGCATTTTATTGTAAAGAATAAAGAAATAATTATTTCTCCAATATCACAGTCACTGAAGGTTTAAAGTTAAAATAGGGAAAATAAGATATTTTCTCGCGTTTTACAAAATAAATATAGCTGTGGAAATGATAATTTTCATTGTGGAAAACTCGCAAGGAGCGGAGCGATATGCCTACGGATGAAGAGTAAAAAAGTGTGTAAAGTGAGGGTGCGAGGCTTTGGAAAAAGAAAAAAAGCTGCATTTTTGCCATTTCTGCGGGTACTCGGGGTCACTTGTCCCAAACTATACCAAATATATTATTTGCGCTATACACAGTAAATTAGTAAATTTCATTTATCAAAAACGCTGTCTATGTTCACTGAAATAATTATGTAATTTTCCTGAGCTGGTTAATGGGGAAGTTGAAAACCTAGGATTTTTTTAATTGGTCGTAATAATCGGCATCCCAGATCCCAGACTTAATTTTAAGGCTAGATATTTAAGGAGGAGAATTTTCGAAACAAATCCCAATTTTTACGGGAAAATTCTAATGCAATCGATGAGCCATAAACCACAACCATAAATAATTGGCCGCCTCCGGAATTTATCCGTGGAGGTTCTGTTAAGTGCCACTCGTGAAATTTGCACAACAATTAAAATTCAATATATTCAATTCCTACACCGAACTTGCATGGGCACCCAGTAACGACGATGGAGTTTTTTTTCTGAATTTAATTTATTAAGTATCAGGTTTTCAACATAACTTTATGGTTCTCAAAATCTAGTGGTAATATAAATTAAAACGGATAACGGATGCTCTACGGAACCCGCCGATTAATTTTCGAAAAACAAGCAGGGAGCAAATATCTTCCCTTTCCATTCTTATAGAAAAAGCGCTTCTAGGTAAAATTCCAAAGGCCTGTATAGCTAGTCTACAGATCGCAAATATTTAGGCCTTAAAGGTCTCATGCGGTGGAGGGATTAAACGACAATAGTCCTTAATTTTGAAAATAAGTATACCAACAAATTTTGGAATTTTGATTTTCTTGCAAGCCAATGAGTGACATAGTCCCACGTCAATAGTCGCATTTTTTCAACAAAATGTACGCCAATGATTGGCATAGTCCCACGTCAATAGTCGCATTTTTTCAACAAAATGTACGCCAATGATTGACATAGTCCCACGTCAATAGTCGCATTTTTATCAACAATGTGTACGCCAATGATTGGCATAGTCCCACGTCAATAGTCGCATTTTTTCAACAATGTGTACGCCAATGATTGGCATAGTCCCACGTCAATAGTCGCATTTTTTCAACAAAATGTACGCCAATGATTGACATAGTCCCACGTCAATGTCGTATTTTTATCAACAATGTGTACGCCAATGATTGGCATAGTCCCACGTCAATGTCGTATTTTTATCAACAATGTGTACGCCAATGATTGACATAGTCCCACGTCAATAGTCGCATTTTTTCAACAAAATGTACGCCAATGAGTGACATAGTCCCACGTCAATAGTCGCATTTTTTCAACAAAATGTACGCCAATGATTGACATAGTCCCACGTCAATAGTCGCATTTTTTCAACAAAATGTACGCCAATGATTGACATAGTCCCACGTCAATAGTCGCATTTTTTCAACAAAATGTACGCCAATGATTGACATAGTCCCACGTCAATAGTCGCATTTTTTCAACAAAATGTACGCCAATGATTGACATAGTCCCACGTCAATAGTCGCATTTTTTCAACAAAATGTACGCCAATGATTGACATAGTCCCACGTCAATAGTCGCATTTTTTCAACAAAATGTACGCCAATGATTGATATAGTCCCACGTCAATAGTCGCATTTTTTCAACAAAATGTACGCCAATGATTGACATAGTCCCACGTCAATAGTCGCATTTTTTTAACAAAATGTACGCCAATGATTGACATAGTCCCACGTCAATAGTCGCATTTTTTCAACAAAATGTACGCCAATGATTGACATAGTCCCACGTCAATAGTCGCATTTTTTCAACAAAATGTACGCCAATGATTGACATAGTCCCACGTCAATAGTCGCATTTTTTCAACAAAATGTACGCCAATGATTGATATAGTCCCACGTCAATAGTCGCATTTTTTCAACAAAATGTACGCCAATGATTGACATAGTCCCACGTCAATAGTCGCATTTTTTTAACAAAATGTACGCCAATGATTGACATAGTCCCACGTCAATAGTCGCATTTTTTCAACAAAATGTACGCCAATG